GAATGAAGACTACAAAGGAAAAAAAAATTCAGAAATATTTCAGCTACATGCCAAGATTTACTGATGGTTTCAGAGCAGAATGGTATATGCTGAGTATTTATCATCAAAATACATTTCAAAATAATTAAATTAAATACCCATGACCCAACAAGCTACACATTGCAGAGTTGTATGTAAGTGGGGTTTTCAAAACATCAGTAGAAAGACACAATGATACACACTCAAAAGGTGAAGTATTTCAGATTTCTTTGCACTTCTTGCTACTTCCAGTGCCCAAGAAATCCTGATTTGATGCTTTATTTTCTACTTTCATTCTGATTAAATCCTTATTTCACTTCATTTTTCAGCGCCATTCCTTCATTTTATTTTCCAGCATTAATTAAAACAATACCTGGTTCACAATTTCTCTCGTCCTCCCCGAGTTTGCAGTCCTCGTGCCCGTCACATTTCCATTTTGCTGAGATGCACTGGCCATTGGAGCACTGGAACTGATCCCTTGAACAGCCTGTTTCACAATACCTCTGGTACAAAGGAAACAACCAACACACAAAATCGAGAGTTTAATATCAACACTGGCAAATATACAGTTGGTGACAGAAGTCATAGCCTGTATTCCTACTTGTTATGAAAAAGAAGGTAATTAATGAAATGAAAAAATGAAATCAATTTGAGGATGTGATTCAAAAAGGTGGCTTGCACCCTCTAAATGGTTGGGATACCTGAGGTCTAGTACTGGCAGGAAAGGAGAAGGAAAAAAAAAAGGAGAAAAAAAGAACAGAAACCCAGCAAAGTATTATCCAGTGAGCTTTGGGTATACCACAAATGGTCTACATCATTCTATCAAAAAATGCCACAAGCCAAAAAACTGCTGTGTCTAAAAAGAACGGGTTCCCAATGAGGACACAAAGTAATTCCAGAATGGGAAGAGGTTCAGATTACAGCTGGGATAAAATGATGTAAAACACTGTAAAATATTCCTTGATTTATTTGCAGGTTCCATTTTTAGAAGAATTTCTTCAAGAAGTTTGCTTTCAATTTAGTAACAATATTTGTATATATGGATTCAAGTGTAGAATTCCTATTGCCATCTTTTAAAATGCTCACATGCAGGAATCCAGTCTCCAACAATAGAAAACTATTAATTCTCTAATGAAATACCTTTTCTGGAAGATGCCTACCTCATCTGAGCCATCTGCACAGTCATAGTCTCCATCACACCAGAATCTCGCTGAAACACAGTCTCCATTTGCACAAAGGAAGTCTTTCAAAGTGCATGTTTGAGGTTCTGAATAAAGAAAAGAAACAACCCTAGGTTTATTAGCATTTCCATTAATTATTTTATAATAACCCCCCATCAATCAATGAATAAATATGAAAAACTCAAAACAGTTAGCTTGCAAGTGATTAGGACTGGTTTCCTGTAGGATTTTATTCCACAACATCTTCTAACTAAATTTCATTTACATAAAGTAAGATAGTAATGATAATATTTTCATCACTTTTATACATTTCAGTTCTATCAAATCTCTTTGCATAATATGATGTTGACTATATATATATATAATTAACTTCAACACATGAATGTCAGTATGGGTTTTGTGAGATATGTACCAGAGACCACAAACACATTTTTCATGTCTTAATAACCAATGTAATTAGAACTAACCAGATTTTTGGCTTTCCATCACACAACATCACATCATTATCATGTACCTTTTGGTGAGAGTGAGTGTGTGTGTCAAGAGTTGGCTTTCCCTGTGCTCAGCATTCAGGGGAATGGTATTGAGATGGCAAACGGAGCCCTAAAGTTTGGTGTTTCAAATAAAATCAAAATTTTCGCTACTGCTGACACAAAAAAGCTGGCAAGGAGATCCCTGTGGAAGATTCCTCCAGCAGAACATCATGAGCTTTTCTCCTGAAAATGAGGGCCACTACAAAAGCCATTTTCTGGATGCTGGACCATTAGATTAAACAAAGGTAGAGAGGTGCTGGGGGTTCAGGAGAAGTTGGGCAAGTCTCTGTATGCAACGTAGATTTGGCAGTCAGAGGGCTTTGGAGAAAAAAAGGGCTTACAAGACAAAATAAGGATTATTTGTGCAATTATTTCCATTACAGTAAAGAATGCATTGTGTAAATGATGTAAAATCAAGATTAAGGATGAATTAATAAGACCTTTTCAGGTGAGAGACGGGAAATGGCAAATGAACCAAAGAAAG